GAAAAGTTCCTGTACAAGACTTCTTAACGTGTTGAAGAATAAGCATGTCACTTCGAGAACGCGGATGGGCTGATTCCAAGCCATGGTGTTTTCAGTCACGTCTTATGTCTATGAGAGCTCAACATCGAATAAGGAGACTGCAGGAGAATCAATGCATGTGAATGAAGGTGGTAGCAACGAATACAGACACAGCCATGGATTCCAGAAGGACAAACAAATCTGTCTTGGGAAGAGTACACTCAAAATGGTCCTTAAAAGAGAAGATGTCAGTACTCTGTCCCAGATACTTTGGCCATATTATCAGCCAAGACCAGTCCCTGGAGAGTGACATCATCCTGCTTGGTAAACTGGAGAGCCAGTGAAGACCTTCAAAGAGGGATTGACACAGTGGCTGTACCAATGGGCTCCAACATAACAACAATAGCAAGGATGGTGCAGGACTGAGCAGCTCAGTTGGATTTGTTCTGATGTGTTGCTATGAGTTGGAACTGACTTGATGACACTCAACAACCATAACAATATTTGGTGCTCTATTGAACAAATGGTCTTGCTTTTAATCTAATCACACCACAACAAAGAGGCATTAGTTAATGTTAGTCCTAAAACAACATAACTGGGAGGGCTAGATCTACTAGACGTGAGATCCAATCCTCTCCAAGTTATAGATGGAGCAAATTGAGGTACAAAAAGGCCAGAATGACTTGCCAAGGTCAATAGCTAGTACCACAAAACAGAAGCTAGCACCTGCTAGTTGTCCAATTCTGTCCTGTCCTCTTCTCTTTTCTCTAACCCATTGCTGTCAAGTGGGTCCTCTCTTCTCATTACATCACCTGAAGTGAGACTTAGTCTTGAGAAGTCTTCTGGAAATAGCTGTGGGTTATCTAATAACTTAAAAAATGATGATGGGTAAATAATATTACTTACACATACATACATACATACATACATACATACATACATACATACACACATAGAGGCTGGAATAATAGGCTTAAACATAACAACACTTGTGAGGGTGGTGCAGAACCAGGCAGGGTTTCATTCTGTTGTATATAGGGTAACTCAGAACTCATTCATTGGCATTTAGTAACAACAACAACAACATACAAAAAACACACAAGAAAGGGATGTGAAGGTAGGAAGGTAGGAAGAATGTCTAGGGGTTTCATTGATCGGGGGTAATAGTTATTTACCAATGTAAATAGTGTAAAAAAATTACAGAATAGGACAACTGTTTTAAAATCTCAAGCTGAAATGCCTCAATAACAACAACAAAATAATATGTTTAAAATGGGCAGACCATAACTAGACACTTCATAAGATAAGATATTTCTTTATTTTTCTTTTTTCATTTTAATAAATATACCAAAAGCTAAAAAAAAATCTAGCTAGGTTATCATGTAGGCATTGCATAACCAAGACAAACACAAAATATAGAAGAAAGACAGCTTGCATTCAGAATTAACTCTACCCTTCCATTTTATTAAAATGGCAAGCATCATGAATCAACCCAGTATTTTGTAATATTTTGAATTGCAAAGGTAACATGATTCAATATGAAAAGAGAAAATGGTCCACAAATCTCTTGACAGTAATAAATCACAATCTATGTACAATGCATACCAGAGTCATACAGAGCAACACTCTTATACAAAACAAAAATTGTTTAATACCTTTAAAATCCAAATCCTTGTTTCTTTAAAATCATTCATGAAAAGCCCGGCTATTAAAAGATATAGTGGCTGGGGTCTTAAAGGCTTGAAGATAAACAAGCAGTCATCCAGCTGGGAAGCAGCAAAGCCCACATGGAAGAAGCACAACAGCCTGAGTGATCACGAGGTGTCGACAGGATCAGGTGTCCGGTATCAGAAGACCCAAAACAATCGGTGAGGGGAACGAGAAGGGGGTGGAGTGAAGAAGACGCAAAGCCCATCTATAGACAATTGGACATCCCCTCACAGAAGGGTCACAAGGAAGAGATGAGCCAGTCAGGGTGCAGTATAGCACTGAGGAAATATATAACATTTCTCTAGTTTTTTAATGCTTCCTCCCGAACCCCTACTCCCCCGCCACTATCATGACCCCAGTTCTACCTTAAAAATCTGGCTAGGCCAGAGTATGTACACTGGTACTGATAAGAGCTGTTGACACATGAAATCCATTTTTCATGAGGAGACAGATAAATCCCTCATGAAAAATAACGGAGGGTAGGGATAAGCTGGGGGGGGGGAACCAATCACAATGACTGACATATAGCCGCTCCCCTCCAAGGTGATGGACAACAGACACATGAGTGAAAGGAGACAGCGGATGGTGTAAGATATGAAAATAATAATTTATAATTTATCAAGGGCTCATGAGAGTGGAAGGGTGGGGGAAGGAGAAAAAAAATGAGGAGCTGATACCAAGAGCTCAAGTAGAAACAAAATGTTTTGAAAAAGATGATGGCAACGTATGTATAAATGTGCTTGACACAATGGATGGACGGATTGTTATAAAAGCTGTAAGAGGCCCTAATAAAAAGATGTATTAAAGAAAAATAAGACAATGAGATCATACATGTAAAAGGTTCTCAAGTCAGAGTTAACACCTCAATTAGTGAAGCATCAGGAAGGTACATTACAGCTATTTCATATTCAAAGAGACATCTCGTACCGGTCACTTCTCCCCCATGTCTCTGCTCTGGATTCACAGGGCTTCGTTCACTTGTCCACACTCCTCAGCCCATTCGTGTTTTCCAATCATGAAAACTGGATTTGTTGCGCCCCAGAAATCCGTTGATAGGATGTTGCATAAACCATAACATTTTGTTGCTGACCATCTGCAATTATTACCTCAGCTGGTAACTGGTTAGGGAAGGCCACCTGTAGTCCATCTGTAGCCATGACTGCGCCACCAACTCCTTTCTCTCCTTCCATCGCCTCTCTGAATTTCTGAAGGTGTCATTTCAGAGGTTCTACGTAACTGTCAAAGCCAGCGTGGACATGGCAAGAGACTATCCTCCCTGGTGATTGTCTTCCGTTTCTCTTGGCAGCTCCTCTCACTTGCTTTGGGCATGATGAAGCTGACAGACGCACTCGCACTCTTGAACACGTTCTTGGGCATCTTTTGCACCCTTTCCCGTTTGATGTACAGCATCTCTCGTTATCCTTGCCACGTTGGTGATTGGAAGATAGAGATCTCAGTCTCAGATGCTATCCTTTGAACCACTTGTATCTTCGTGATCGTTCATGCTGCCCTGCCTATCATCGAGAGGCTGTATGACCTAATTACTTCCTCTGATAGAATCTGCAGATGTGCCCAGGAGAGACGTATCTGTTGTAGAGCCATCACCATCCATTGTTATGAAACACTGCCCGGACCGTGTTGTCAGCAGCGCTTAGAGACAGCTGGCGTCCCTAGAGAGATGGCATCCCCAGGATAGCTCCTTGTTGCCAGTTTCAACCTCCAATGCAGCTCTGGGTGGCCCCCATCAAGAAGACATTCCAAGCGGTCAAAAACCATGTGAAGAAATGCTTGTGATGCATACTAAGAAGGTTCACGCTTCTCAGAATAATCAGCCATTTGAGATAAAAATGACAGCATGTGCCCAAGTACAAAGTTCAGTAGGGTTAGGAAAAAAGGGTAGCAAAAAGAGGAAGATTCTGGACAAAATGGTTTGACACAGTGGCAGCAAAGATGGGCTCAAAGATAACAATTGTAGAGATGGTGCAGGATCAGGCAGTGTTTCCTTCTTTTGCAGGTAGGGCTGCTATGGGTCAGAGTCAATTTGATGGCACCTAACCCCAAAGACAGGAGAGAAAGAAGATTGGAAACAGGGAGCACTAAGTGGACGAAGGCAAAGGACATTAAACAAAACTCGTCTGACTTGTTGAATGGAAAGCCATTCGCTCGTAGATGGTCATTCAATTCACGAGAAAGAGTGAAACAAACTCTCAAACTGAAGAGAGCGATTGATTGGTGGTTTCAGAATATAGTCTAAGAAGTATCGCTGAGTGCTGGGGAGGAATTCTGGTTTCCTTTGGCCTCTTATCCCACATCTTTATTTTTCCTCAAAATTAATAGGAAAACATCGAAGAGCCTTCTGTGTGAGGTGATAGGCCTGAAAAAGATGACTTATTAATATTGTTTTAGTGACATTTATTACTCATCTTTGGATTGCTTGCATTTTCAAAAATACAGAAAAAGACAACTTTACACTGAAATTAAAACTTAAAACAGAATTCCAGCTGCAAAAGTAGAGCACTAAAAGATTATGTGGCACATTAAAATATGAAGCATATTCGTACTCCCTCTAAATTCCTTATGGTGAGAATCTACTCACTTGCTTAAGTTTTTTTTTAATCTACCAAAATTAAATGAGCCAGACAGTTCATTGTGGTTAAGGCAAGAAAAGTAAGAGTTTGAACAAATTCCAATACAAATGGGAGTACAATCTTCCCACATGTCCCGCCCTTTGCACATTGGGTTCATAGTTCCCAAAGACCTGGTTTGCTGATTCTGGGTTTATTTTACTGCTGTTATTTGCTCGGTCAGTTTCTCCCAGAACATACATCAGTCAGAAGGAGCAAATCACATTGCTTTGAAAAACAAAGGAACATAAGTCACTTGCTGTCTTGTGAGATACATGCAATTCACTTACAACTCCATTTCGGAGTGTGGGGAGGCTTACAGGAGGAAACTAACTAGAGACAATGTGCATCGTTTGACTGGGACATGTTCACTTCTGCAGAGCCTTGAGCTCACCGGTGGTTAGAAGGGGATGTAAACAGAAAGAGCTTGGAAGTGATCTAGTTTTGGAAGGGATGCTTCCAAGATGAGTTGGAGGTAATATGGGGAAAAGTGGTTGCCTTAAAAAGCCGTCCATTTCAAATTTGAACACCGTTATCCTGCAACAGCCTGGCCTAGAAGACTCAGTGATGGTGGCTCCCGTTTTTGAAGACAGAGCAGGTTGGACTGTGAAACCCACTGACCAAACAATTTTGACGTGGGCCGCTGGCTCAGAAATTGCAGAAAGGTTTATGGCAGCAATGAGTTGACAGAACTGCATATGTTGACACAATTCTCCTGAAACACTCACTCTGGTTCCTTGTGCAGCCTTTCACGGAATACCACTGAATGCCAACTGAGGGAAACAAAAGAGGGAGAGGTACGGGAATATTCTTTGGGAAGTACATCTCACGGGGACACGGACTTTTCAGATCATGGTTTAAAAACAAACAAGCAGCAAAATTATATGTGAATTATATGCCAATAAAATTGTTGAAAAACGAAACAAAATAGAGTAAAGCAAAATCCCTTGGCTTGTCATGACACATATCTAGGGTTTCTAACAAAAAGAATGGCTTGTTTTATCATGGTGCCTTTAAGAACTCCCAACAAAGGCTATTGCCATAGATACATGGTATGACACGAACTTTGAAACTCTACAGTGAAACAGCTTTCCAATTCAGGTGGTAAGAGACATAATTAGTTGCAATTAGCTATAGACACGTTTCTGAAGGGTTTGTTGCTTGGAAGTTTCTTAATAACCATCTTACAGATTACGCAGGTCATGAGTTATCCAAAGGGACGAGTCCACAGAAGTATCATTCAGATGTCCGAGTTCTCAGAAAGAGGATTGCCATCAACCTCCCTTAAGGTTTGCCCTGACTACAAACATAATGCGTGTTCACTGTAGAAAATACATAAAATGCACCGAAGTAAAAACTAAATGACAGTCACGCCTTGTCATCTCACCGCTGTGAGCATCATTTGCACGGGGGAAGACACAAAGAAGCAGTGCTTTTGAGGTGGCCAGAAACTTGACAAAAGGAGTGATTCCTCAACTGGGGGAGACTTTGCTCCCCACTTCCCAGGGAACACTAACAATTCTCGAGACATTTTGGAATCACAACTGGCTGGGGGGTGGGGTGGGTTAGTACTGGTACCTCCTGGGTAGAACATGTAGATCATTTTCTTGCATAACTACTAAAACACCATACCCTTCTACTTGAAAGTCAATTCTCTTGAGTCAGTTCTGTTTCAAAGTGAACACAGAGGCAGGGTAGAGCTGCTCCTGCAGGTTTCCAAGACTAATTCTTGACAAGAGCAGAAAGCTTCAACTTTTTCCTTCTAGGGTGCTGGTAGTTTTGAACAGCTAACCTTGCTGTTAACAGCCCAACACATAACCACCACGCTACCAGAGCACTATGATCACCTTACCGCACACTCTTTTGGGGGTTGGCATATGAGTGATTCTCTGAGGTAGATGCCAAGAAGGAGAAATGCTTTGTAGAATGGTGTTTTCATCTAAAATCTTCATGGGAATTACCAAACTCTTTGAAGAAAATGCTAAACCAACCTGAATGGTCTTTGGCAATCTATGCATTTTGTTTTCCTTATACTGCCAATAACCTTACAGTTCTGATTAATCTTGCTATCGCAACAGGCATCAGTGAACTACTTGGGGCTCCGTGCACTTATTTTGCTTGCCTTTGTAGCATTAGCTAGAGTTGGCGGTGAATTAATTTGCCTTTGTTGGCCTCTCTCTACCTTTTGGAAGTTAGAGATTAAGGTAACTTTTATTAAAATGGTTTAAGTAAAAGGAATTAAGTCAATTCCTAGTAAAATAAGAAAAGAATATGCTGAGCATTTTAAGGATTTTTTTTAATGAGTTCAATATATAGTGAACCCTCGCCACTTCGCGCTTCGACTTCCGCGGCTTCACTCTATCGCGGTTTTTGCGTAACAGTGCATGCTCTGTCATTACTGCCACTGATTGGCTCATACTGTACACGCTTGATGCCATAAATAATATAATAAATAATAAATGATAATTGTAACGTCCAAAATGTTTTACTGTATTTTCCCTTTTTCGTTTAATAAATTGGGTAATACGAGTGTAATGGCGACTAAAGGGTGTTTTTTCATGTCCTCTATGCTCTAACTACGAAAATATTTGATTTACAAATAAGGAATCCTACTTCGCGGAATTTCATTTATCACGGTAGGGTCTAGAACCGATTAACCGCGATAAACAAGGGTTCGCTGTAATTTGTTGTAGTTTCTTTCATAGTAAGAATGGAAACAAATGATTCGTTTGTCATTTTAGGCCCGAAGAACAGGAATGCATGGGAGAGAGTAACTAGATTGAAACTTCTTCTTTTGAGTTTCAAGGAAAAAGCACGAGAAACGTGCCCTTATCCTGTCACAGCCCCCCTCCCTCCCCGCGATGATCCTACTGACCACCAGAAAGCAGAGTAAGAAAGAAGACGTGGTATTTATTCACTGATACCCTGCAACTGAGCTACAAGATTAATAGTGCCCCCATGCCAGACCCCTTCCTTTCCTAAGATAGGAAAGGCCCCAATGTTCTCTATTTGGGGAAGAAGTTCTTTGTTGGACCGCATCCACTCTCTCACCTCATGTATCTACATGTAATACAATTCTTGCTCTTTTCTCTGCCCCTGTCTCATGAGTTGACTTACTTATGGCAGACAACTCGAATACCTTATATTGTCTGAACAATCTGATGAGCTAAACAAATATTATTCCTGTAGCTTATATTTCCTTGAAATTAAGCAACCTTTTAAGTCATTTGTATTTTCTCTTCTGAGAATTACTTTTACATTTCCTTGAATGCATTTCTTTCTCTCCCTCCCTGGTTGTTGGTCGTTTAAAAATTGGCTTTTAAAAGTTTGCAAATTCATTCCAGAAGTTCTGGTGGTGCTGTCAGGTAAGCATTAGACTGCTAACTGTAAGGTCAATGGCTCAAGCCTACCATCTGCTCCTTGGGAGAAAGATGAGGCAATCTGCTCATGTAAGACTTACCATCTTGGGAACAATACATAGGGTTGCTATGACTTTAACTTGCCTTCATATCAGGAGGTTTGGCTTTGTGTTTATTTACAATAGATATTGATTTTTTGTGTCATGTATGCTGTAACTTTCAACCAGCTTATTGTTTATTTTTAAAATTTTGGTGGTTATTGTTCATTTTGTAATTTGAATATTTAAATATTCAAATACTTTTGAGATATTCAAATTTACCCATTATTTCCTTTACAACTTTTGCATTTGGAAGGTTAAAGAGGCCTCATCTCTTTCCAGCTTAACACATATCCTCCGGCATTTTCTTCAGATGTTTCTATCTTTTGCATTTTTATGTTTAGGTTTTTAATAAATGTTGGCAAGATTATCTTTAGAAGTGTGATACTGAAATTGTATAGAGCATCTCCCTTTGAAGGGACTCACTTGGTATAAAGCTCTGCTGCTACCATCTTGGATTTCCTAAGACATTTTGAAGAAGAGACCCTGTATTTTTATTTTGCCGAGTCTTACAAATTGTGTTGATATTTTAATGAGGATATGAGTGATGTGAATGGGCCATTTAGATAGACTCATAAGGAATGCGACCTCTGAGTTAAAGTACTTGCTTTTGAATCCTGGCTACACCACTCTTTAACTATGTAATTTCACCTAAGTACTTCATCTTTTTATGCCTCATCTTCAAAGTAGGGACGCTGACAAAATATAATTCACAACATGGTCATGCTGGGGTAATGTACAGCAACTAGCATGAAGCAAATGCTCAATGAAATTTGTTGTTAGGTAAGGATTTTTCCGGTGCTTGTTTTAGAGAGTTTTTCCATTTTCAAATGTAAAAACTTACGTTTGGTGTGGATCTCTTTGATACAAAACTGACCGGGTGTTGTTCTGCAGGTTCCGAAGTCTAGGAGACACCCATGGAAGGGGAGTGAGAGGTTGCACACTCGACAAATCACACTCACATAGTTAGCGTTGGCATCAGCATCAGCATCATCAAATAAATGGGAGGAAACTCCAGGGAAAAATGAGATAGAATCTGAGAGGGAAAAAGAAGAAAAATTTTTTTAAATGAAGCAATTATTTTCAACTATGAAAAGCAAGTGATAATTTAAAATTACCATCTTCAATGCACACAAATCAAAATAATTTTCATTTCAAGGGTTTAATGGGGAAAATACCAAAACACAGATTATATTCATGAATGAGAAGCATGTGAGCTCTGGTACCCCTCAGAAATGATAGTAGGTTGTCCAAACAATTCAGTTAGAGGATATTCAGTCTCTCGGTGATTGCACAAATGAAACCAAAGCGACTGGCCCTGTCTTGACACTTCACTGTAGCTGGAAACAGTCCTTCCACCTTTAGCTCTTTTGCTGACGATCATTGTTCAATAGCTGAATAGGCTTCAATATGTTCTCAGAGCAAATCTCCTTCCTTCCAGATTATTTTGTCTGAAAATGTACTGTTGGTTTTTGGAGCATTTCTACTGCATGTTATATTTCTATTTACAAATAAGTTGAAAACGTCAAGTTTTATATAAAATGCGTAACTTCCCTAGTTGATTACTTCTGAAGTGTATGAGTCTATTTTAGGATTATTAGTGGGAGACTCTCAATTTATCATATAAACATGCATGGAAATAATCTCATTAATAATATAAACATATTTTCGAGCCACATATAAAGGTCCTCTCAGGGGTCCTTAGAAGGAGTGCCTGGCAGTTGATGGGGATGAGTAAAAAGGGATTTCCATTAGGGTTCTAATTCATACCTGCATGGGTTTCTTCCAAACAAACCCTATTTAAACATGTCTCTGGGATCAATGGACAGCTGCAGATGAGTTCTGTTACAAGACTTTCCTGAGTCTTGCGAGTGTGTAATGCTCTAAATTATTTACTATAGCTCTTCTAGTCATAAGCCCTTAGGCGATATAGCCTCTATGCCTGTGGTATGAATCTCATTTTGGAGGGAGGTCTCTGTATGCTAATTCCGAGGCCGAGTAGAGGGGTCAATCCCAGTTACATCCCTTGGTTTCCTTGGGGATATGGTCTACTGGAAGACAAAAACCACGCCTCCATCAAAACCGTTTCTCCGGGGCTAAGAGCAATCCTGGAAGCAGAGGGAGAGAAATCCTAGGACCATCAGGGAAGAAGAGCCACCAGTGGAGCATGTTCCAGCTCTCTGTCTGAAATGGCAGAGGCTGAGACCAGAGGCATCGTAGGCTTTGGTCTGGAGACCACAGGACAGTTAAAGGAATCCCGCGAGGAGACCCGAGACGGAGCGGAGGAGCAGCACCAAGTGATGAAACTGACAAGCAGAGCAGTGGGTTGGCTTCCTGGCCTTTGGAGGCCGAGGTCAAGGGACCACGCGGTAGAGGATGAGGACTCGAGGGACACTTGGCGTCTGGCTCAGAAGAGCTATTGTTGTGGACCAGTGACCGTGCCCTTAATGCTTGCTGATGCTAGCTCACAGTAACTTGACCTCTCCCCTAACAAGTCTGCCTTGATTCTAGTGTCTGAGCTCTGTGTGGCCCTCGTAGTGCAGGACTGAACCCAGCACACCAGGAGAATGCTGGGGGATGACCAGCTGGTGTCTGAATAGATAAAGGAGGGAGGAGGCAGGTCTGACCTCTGCCTTTTGGCAATAGGGAAACCAGAGGACGTCAGGTATGGCCCCTGGGCTGCTTTAGCGGAGTACCTTCCAAAAATTAAAGGCCCAAGAAAAACAGTGTCTTCTCAGCAGCACAAAAGTTCAGCTTTAAAAGATGTAGTAAAAAAAAAAATCATTCCTGAGGGGCACATCTTAATAGTTTATTTATTTATATTAAAGGAAACAGAATGAACATAAGGGATTATTATGAAAAAGTTTTAAGAAAATTGTAAACTGCCATGGAGGGAAAATGGCCAGGAACATTGTACCAAGAAATTGTTTTCCATCCTGACTGGGTTGATGTAAGTGGGTAGTATAGGAATTGGATACCGAAAACTGGGGAATAAAGGCATGAAGTGGTTGGCTTACAAACTTTCTTTTAAATCTTATTTTATTGGGGGCCCTTATAGCTCTTATATACAAAATGGATCAAACACATCTTTGCATATGTTGTCATCTTTTTCAAAATATTTTCTTTTTACCTGAGCTCCTGGCATCAGCTCCTCCTTATACCACCCTCCATCCCCCATCCCCCCCTAACAATCTATAAATTATTCTTTTTTTTTCATGTTTTACACTGACTGCTGTCCCATTTCACCCGCCCTTCTGCTGTCAATAGCCAATGAGGCCTCTGTGTGGGTATGGCCTTCTCCTGAGGAGTCTGGGAACTCCTATATTTCCTCCTTGGAGGTGGGAGATTCTCTCTCTCTCTCTCTGCTCACTTCCTGTGAAACATCGCTTTGGAGAAGAAGATCCATAGAGAGAAGCTGATGGAGTTAGACTTCTGGAGCCAGAGAAGCCCTGTGGAGATCCCTGCCAGCGCTGAGATTCTTACAACACCGCTGGATCCACAAGACTTCCCACTCACTGGCCTCTGATTGTCCGGCATTCAGCATCATTGCATGTGTTTCGTGAGTCTGAAGAGGACTTTATAGATTGGTATAGGACATATGGGTTAATATCAGACTTATGGACTTGATCTGGCTGCACTGGGATGTTTTCTCAATATTTAATTGCTCTTGTATATTAAGTTCTTTCTTATACACATGAGTGTCTATGGATTTATTTCTCTAGTCTACCCAGACTAACACACCTTCTCAATCCTTTCTCCTGAAGCTCAGGGTTTCAGAATTGTTACCTGTGATCTGTTTCATTTGGTCTCTCATATCTTTGTAGAGGAGCTGTTTAATGTGCCTGCCTAGGCCTGTTGGCATATGCTGTTGTTAGGTGGGATTGAGGAGGCATCAACTCATAGAGACACTACATAAATCAGAATAAAACACTTCCCAGTTGACTCATTATTTTATTTTATTT